ATATAAATTATACACAGTTTTATATACAAATATAAATATCACCCTGATGTATTAGTTTGCTAGAATTGCCATAACAAAGCACCACAGACTGTTCAGCTTAAACAACAGAAATTTATTTTCTAACAATTCTGAAAGCTAGAATTCTGAGATCGATGTATCAGCAGGGTTGATTTCTTCTAAGGCTCTCTCCTTGGCTTGCAGATGGCTGTCTTCTTCCAGTGTCTTTATATTGTCTTCTCTGTGTGTGTCAGTGTTCTAATCTGCTCTTTTTATAAACATATCTGTCATATTAGATTAGGGTCCACTCCAAAGACCTCATTTAATATTAATTTCTTTCTTAATAACCTGATATCCAAATACAGTCATATTCTGAAGTACTGAGAGTTAGGATTTCAACATGTAGTTTGGTAGGACACAATTTAGCTTGTACCATTTGGGGTGTTCCCTTTACTAGTAGTGCCTTGGTGAATGAATGATTTCATTTACCATTTAAATAAAAGACCAACATTTTAGAAGAGAAAGTTTTATTGTCATTTTTTCCCTCACAATTATAGGAAAGATGGTCATGAGAAGTAAAAGGAAAAGACTGAAAGAGAGGAAAGATAAAGTAAAAGAGACAAAAAGGAGTGAGATATGTCACCTCTATTTTATCTGGGCTAAATGAGAGGTCCACTAATTATGTGAAATTACAATTTCTATCTTCTGTATATTTAGAGGAATCTTTGTGTTACCCTTTATCTTCATTTTAAAGGTCTTGGTATTATATGTCAATCAGAATATAGAATTCACATATGAAAGATGTCCTCATAATGCCATAAAAACTAAATTTGCATATTTGACAAGTGTGCAAAAGTGCAACACCATTCCAACACTGACATATAATTCTAAAGGATTTTAAATGAGATGTCATATTATTATTGGCTCTAATTAGCAGTCAAAAAGGTATAACATTCTTTTTATGCAATTAAACTCCATTCCAAAAGGTGTTAAGTTCATTTTTCTTCTACAAAAAAAGGTGAAAAAAGTCTCGAGAAGAAGGAATATTGTGATCATGAGGCTATGAATCAATTAGGCCAAATAATCAACTCTTTAAGAGAGAAAAATGTCATGTAAAAAGCAATTTCATGAATGGTGCTAGCTATTTCTTATAAGCAGGAATCTGTAAAATACAAGTTTTGCAACGTTGTCTTGTCCAGGTAGGAACTGAAGAGCGTGCTCTTTTCTCTGATGGGGACAAGTGACTCCATCTAGACATTAGTCTTTGGAGAGAAGTCTCTCAGATGCTGACCCTCTCTGCAATGGAGAGAGCACATGGCATGGCCTGCTAGGCTACTTCTCTGCCATTCTGCTAGGCAGATTCAGGCCCTGACAATATAAGAGCCCTGTGAGCCTCCACTCATGTTTGGATAAGTCTCTCCGCATTATTGCAAATACAAGAAGCCTTGTGTAGCTGTGTAATAAAGAGAGGAGAACACTTACAATATTCTCAGTCATGATTCTCAATTCCATGAAGAAAAACAGTGTATTTTACATACATTCATGCTAAATGTTATAATTACATTATATAGAAAGATTATTAACCAAATATTATATATATGAAAACAGAGTTGAAAGTTTTCAACTATTTCAACTGATGACTTCCAAGATGTACCTGACTGTGCTGATATAATCTGATGGATTTTTATTTCAAGCTATTCTAACAACTATATTTTATGATAGGAAAATGAAGGGTATTGTTTTAAGGAAGACCATGTTTAATGTTTTCAAATATTTTTATCTCTGACCTAAATTTTGTTTTCTAGTTTGTTTCAAATTTTCACACTTGGGTCAATTTTGTTTTGCTCTAGATAGAATTTTTTCATCTTGGTCTTTGTTTTGCTGTATTTCTGCCTTACTGGAAAAGTTTTTATCATCCCCCTTTCTTTTCATCCGATGAGTAGCTCTTGTGTGTCCAGAGATAAATATATCCTTTACTTCTGCAAACATTATTTTGGCATATGTATTTTTGTTTCAGTTAGGAAAAGAAGAGAAAAATGATTTTCCTTCTTGTTTTCTTTCTAAAACTTGCTTTAGAAGCTAAGTGGGAGCAGCCCTTTCACATGCCATGATGGTAGTTATTTACGTGCATTGGCACGATTCATTTTCACAAATTTACGAGATAAAGTTAACCTTTATTTCTTAAAGAGAGAGAACAAGAGGAAAAGGTCAACTGCAGGTGCTTGATGTTGCATTGTGTGCTGCTTACGAAGAAGAAATATGGAGTCAGAGTGCCTCATCATTTACTAGTTGTGTGTCATATCACAAAAAAAGGAAGTGTATTCAACCAAAAATGCAACTTGGACAATTGCACTGGTAAAAACTACTTATGGAATATGCAGGAATAAAGTTCAATTGCACTGGTAAAAAGTACTTATGGAATATGCAGGAATAAAGTTCTTAAAATTTTATAAGATGGCATAAAATGTATTTCTTTGATAAATGACATTATTTACTTAAGATATATTTCCAGAAATAAAATTGCTGTGTCAAGATGTATATCGAATGATTTTGATACATATTTTTAAATTATCTTTTAAAAAAGATAATTTTACTAGGAAAGTAGAAGTTTATCTCTTATTGCTGAGCAAACTGATATTAAATATTTTTCTTTTTATTATCTGCATTTACTCGCTTTTGTTTAATGAGCATATACTATTTGTATAGCAACAGAAAATAAAAGAGAGTTATATTTGTGAAGTGTCATGTCAGATTGTCCTGTCCAGTTTGAAGTCCTCTTTGACTGTTAATATACCTTGAGATGTTATTTTAGCTATATAAATGCTCCCTACAGGTTAAGAGCATAATCCAAGATGATTAAGGAGATTGAATTCTCATTTGACTGATTGTTGCCATAGACACTTACACAGAGATAAATGAAGCCATTAAACACAGATCTCTTTTACATTTGGGAAGACATGGCAAATCATCACACTGCTTTCTTTGGTGTACACAACATATTGTGAGTGTGCGTGTGCTAACATTCTGTATATATCTTGATGATCTAGTACATATATGCAACTTCCTTACATGAAAATGAGCTGTACATATTTGAATAGCACTGGTGACTTTTTTACATAAATCAATTTTTCCTTTTGATGACTACATTATGTGAAGATGTTTGAATGCTGTTTTTTTGTTATGTATATACTTATAGATATATCTGTGAAACATCTAGCTAGATGTTCTGTATGAATCAGTTTTACATATGTAAATAGATATATTTCTGTACTCTAAATTTTGATAATGAAAACAAGAATTCATCATTTTATTATTCAACCATTCTTAAGCATTTAGTAGCCATTACTATAAAAAATTTCTCTTGGCCGGGCGTGGTGGCTCAAGCCTGTAATCCCAGCACTTTGGGAGGCCGAGACGGGTGGATCACGAGGTCAAGAGATCGAGACCATCCTGGTCAACATGGTGAAACCCCGTCTCTACTAAAAATACAAAAAATTAGCTGGGCATGGTGGCACATGCCTGTAATCCCAGCTACTCAGGAGGCTGAGGCAGGAGAATTGCCTGAACCCAGGAGGCGGAGGTTGCGGTAAGCCGAGATCGAGCCATTGCACTCCAGCCTGGGTAACAAGAGCGAAACTCCGTCTCAAAAAAAAAAAAAAAAAAAAAATTTCTCTTTGTGGCTAATTTGATTACTTGGAGATTTTTTTTATTGTGATGGAAAAAGAAATCCTGCACAGACAACTTTAATTTCAATATTTTGATGAGGAAAATTAAGGATAATTTAAATAGAAATGATTCAGAAAAGAATCAGTGAGACTTAGCGAAGGATCATTGTGTACTATGGAGAAGCTGATTAGAGATAAACTTATTAACCATATTTAACAAATATAAAGAATTATTAGACTGAGTATACAGACAAATGTTTTACTCCTGAAAGACAAAAGAAGAAAAACTGAATTCAACCAATGTGTATAAAAGTTAAAATTAACAGCAAATTAAAAATAGATAATTAATTAAATATATGATACAATATAACATGCTACAGTCAAGTTGATGTTACAAATCTTTATTTACTTACATTGATATGTTTTGATACTAATGTGTTAAATAGCCATTAAGAAATAACTACTTCTTTGAATAATTTGCTTTCTAAATTTCTTAACAACATAAATTTCCAGCTCTACATGGAAAACCATGCTTTCAAAACGTTAGTGATGTGCTTTTTACATAGCGTTAAAAAGTTTTTTTATTCACCAAGACGGAGTCTTGCTCTTTTGCCCAGGCTGGAGTGCAGTAGCATGATCTCAGCTCACTGCAACCTCTGTCTCCCCAGTTAAGCAGTTCTCCTGCCTCAGCCTCCCAAGTAGCTGGGATTACAGGCATGCATCACCATGTATAGCTGACTTTTTTTTTATTTTTAGTAGAAACAGGGTTTCACTCTCTTGGTCAAGCTGGTCTCGAACTCCCGACTTCAGACGATTCACCCACCTTGGCCTCCCAAAGTGCTGAGAATGCGCCTGGCCTAAAAAGTTTCCTAAATGCTGCTTTAGACTCTCACATTATCTAAAAAGGAAAATCTATTAGTTTCCTGGATATTTTGGGTATCATAAGGAACATGCTTATTTGCTACATATTCTCTGTTTATAACAGTAATGTAACTTCAGTTCAAAACAATATACAAAACATTATAAGTTTCCTTGATATTTTAAAAATTACTTTATTTCCTTCCTTTCTGAATACAAATGCTGTTCAGTCTGTTGATTCTTCATTCACCTGAAACATTAGGGGCTGATTTCTAAATTGGGTTTCATTCTAAAGCCTTTCAGAGCCACTGACGCAAAGGGGCTGGCAAACCTAGAATATCGTTTGTTGTATCATTTTATTTTTTTCTCTTGGCAAATCAACATAATTCATACAGGACTATGCCACTGTCTTTTGAAATAAATCAGGTTTATGAATGTAAAAATGTTAATAAAGATAGTAAATGTTAATTCTGTCATTGTTACTGTATTTCTTCAAGCTGTGGCTGCCAACTGCTTTGAGTGATGTTATTGTTACTCACACATTAGGGAGAGAAAAGAGATGTTTGGTGGATTTTTAATTAACAATCCCTATCAATGTTCCTTGACCTTTCCCACTCTATCTCTCCACAATTTTCATCCATTGTTGGAAATTTTTTGCTTACCCATACTAAGCCAGAGTTACTGATGGGAAGGCATCAGATATGTCATGTGTGTTGCTGGTGGGATGGGAGACTGTGGAGGGTAGGAATAGGTGGAAATCTACTTCAATGAAGAAACAAAAAGCATTTCCTAGGACATCAAGAACATGGAGGCTAGATAATGACAATAGCCACTTGTACTGAGAGCCTCCACTCTGCCTGGCTCTTTGCTATGAACCACATTATTCATTCCTTCTAACAATCATACAAGACAAGTAAAATATCATTCTCATTTTTTAATGAGAAAACTAGAGATTACAGAGGTTATAGATACTTGCTCTGAGTCACTGCTAATGAGTAGCAGAACTTTGATATGTCCTTGCATTTAGGTTGTATCTAGTACATTAACTCTTAGAAGTATATTATGCTCACCAGAGTTGCAGAGTTGAGTGTATTACTTGGGTTCATTAATGTGTTTTTTTCTTTCTAATACTAAAGTCATTTGAACTTGCTAGATTTTGAAATATTTAAGTGTCTTTTTTTATCTAGCTTTAACATCTTTAATCTTAGAATCTTGCATGCCTTCATATTCTTAGGACCACAAAACCACAAGAATATTTAAAATGTTATCTAATAGAAACAATATGAAGTTGGCCATGGAGTCAAATTAGAGAATCTGAACATGATGCTTCTTCTTCATTGCTCTTCATATTTCTTCAGAGTAAACCTATTCCCCCATCTCATGCTCACCCCCTTTCCAAAATCATACACGATGTTCTCCCAACAGTATGCATTAGGCTTTCTCTACTGTACCCACTATGAAATTACAGGAGAAGCCCATTGAGATCTCACTACCTCATCTCTCTCATACGTTTACAGAAGGTGACAGGAAGGTGCAGATAGGGCGTAAGAAGCAGGTAGCTCAAGAGTCAACATTACATCACCTCTTGTGTTAACAAATATGGAATATTATCCAAAGATAATAAAGATTGCATTTTCTTCACTTAAACACATTAAATCATTCCTCTCTTTAATCACTCGTTAATGGGTAGAACCTTTATTTTCATTGTATTTTCTTCTCTCAAACACATTAAATCATTCCTCCCTTTAATCACTTGTTATTGGACAGCACCTTTATTTTCATGCCATTCTACTCCGCTGTCTTTGCTATAGCATGAGTTCACTGCATACCATACCTAAAAATTCAGTCGTTCTATGGGGATAAGCAAAGTCTAGGTTAAGCATACATTTCATAGAATGTTAATCTATAGCAAAATCAATAAATTAAATCCAGATAAAACAGTCATATTAAGGTGTGGTAAAATATTTAAATTTCACTTAGTAAAGAGAAAACCAAACATGAATATGGTAGTTATGAACAGAATGTGCATATCAGTAATGCTTCCAAGTAGGTTCTGACTTCCTATTTCTTATGAGGTGCAAGCCATTCAATTAGTTTAAAAAGAAATATGAAGTCAGAACCTAAAGATTTACTGAAGACCATGCTGTTCATCAATAATGAAAAGAAAAATTTAAAAAATATATTTATTTTAACTTCTAGTTCCCTTCTTTGTACTTGAGCAACTTTCCCTCCTTAAGAATATGGATCTAGAATATATGAAATATTACTATTAATATTATTTGCAATTAAAAGTTCATTGGATGTTTACTGTGTTCAAAGCATTTTGAGGATTGAAAGAGTTAAACATATAGTTATAATCATGACAACAAAATTAGTTTATAATTTTCTTTTTTTGTGGGTAGTGAAAAATCATCTCCCCTACTGAGGAATACCAATATAGAAAAGGCAAAACTATACATATGAATGAACTGTTTTATAATAACATAAGTTCTTCTTGATTTCCATTGTCACATCCAAATTCGAAGGCTATTTCTAACAGATCTGGGTTCTACCTTTTTCCTTCTCACATTTTACCACACCCAGTCTGTGAGGCTTCAGACAGAAACTGCTAATTCAGAGACAGTTGTGCCTTCTGTAACAGTTTCTGCTAAATTGTCTCAGCTCTGCCAGTTAAAAAAGCTAGGTGATCTCAGCCTATCACCAAAACTCTTGGAACTCAGGTTCTCTGTTTATAAAAGCTACATAAAATATAACTTATCTGCTTGTTATGACTGAATAACATAGTACATTAGTCCTTTGTCAAAAGACTAATAAATTACCATATAAAAGTGTGGGATCGTGTTAAATATTATAAGAAATGCAACTGTCCAAAAATAATTCTCTCACAATGGTCTGCTAATAAGACCTGAAATTATCTGTCATTTTATTTATCTCTTTGACTTAAAGCACCAGGTCTCAAGGAGGTCACTGTTAAACTATAAATTTATCATATGAAATAATATATTAAATAATTGTTGTAATAGTCTATTGAGGTACTAGCTGTAATGAGGCACAATGAAAAACATATACTATTAACAGTAATACAAAGAAGCAACAAAAATAATAAAAAGCAAATCACTGATTCATGCAACGACATGAATGAACCTCACAAATATTATGCTGAGTAAAAGAGGTCACACAGATATGAAACAAAGTTCATACTATGTGATTAGATTTTTATGCGGTTCTAGAACATGCACATGAAGGGTACAAGGTAACTGTCTGGAGTGATAAAATGTCCTGCATCTTCAAAATGGTGTGGGTTTCACTAAGAGATGGCTTTTTCAAAGTGACTTAAAGGGACATAACATCTGAGCATTTCACTAGGTGTAAATTATACTTCAATTTTAAATAATCATCTAATGATATTGTGGTTATTTTTAAACAGTTCCTAAATTTTGTGGATGCATACTTAATGTTTGCAGCTGAAAAGATATATGCAAAGCTTGAATTTGGTGACAAAAAAACAGGGAAGATTTGTACTGATAAAGTTAGTGGACATATGGATGAGACACGATCAGCCATGCATTGAAAAACATGTAAAAGTTGGATGATATTCACATGGGAGCCCTTCATTGTGTCTACTTTTGTGTGTTTGAAGATTTCCCATTATAAAAAGTTGAGAATAGGTCGGTCACCTGAGTTTATCCTTTCATTTACAAAAAAGAAAACTGGAAACAGAAGGAGAGCATAACTTGTTCAAGGTCTCAAAGCCAGACAGCATACTAGCTCCCAAGCCTAAGCTTTTTGCTGTGGTGGTAGGCAAACACAAAATATTAATATGAACTACTGTATTATGGAAAGTCTGCTTTTCCAAAGGGCAGACCAAGAGTTCAAGGAAGGGTTTAAGTAATAAATATCTGTGATCTTACTTTCATGCTATTTTCCACTGAACACATATGCATTATCTTCTATATGTCTGTTACGTATAATCATTTGCTTCCTGTTCCTTGTGGTTTTAAAGTTGTTTTTTATGTTTAAATTTGATTTTACTCAAATTCAGAACCAAAATGAGCGCAAGAATCAGACAAAACATTACTTTCTATAAATATAAAAACAATTTTTAAAAAAACATACAGCAAAAACGAGTTGTTGTTCCCCCCACTTTTTCAGTGCTTAACTAATCTTCCGAATCCAGGCACGGAAAGCAAAGGCTTTCTGCTGGTGGGAGGAGCTTGCTTCTCCATTCTGGTGTGATCTAGGAACAGCTGTCTTCCTTCCAGCTCTGAAAGAGGTGAAAATGTGTTAAGCGATGCAAAAATTGTCTTGAAGTTCGCGTTTGTATGTCTGTTTGTGCGTGTTGAGGGTGGGGGAGATAAAAGGGGGTGTCAGTTCTGAGGGCAACGAGAATCAGAAGTCAGAAAGATGAGTGGTTTGTAGCATCCTCCTTTCAGAAGGGGCTGAAGAAGAAATGGATATGATGGTCGGGTAGGGTAAATCACGCTGGATTTGCCTCCTAGACCACGCACTTGGGCCTGCAAAGTAAGTCTCATTTCCAGAGCGAAAAGCCTTGGAACTGCTTGTTTTAGACGGCCGGGGAATATTTATTCCTTGTTCCACTGATGGGAAAATCAGCGTCTGGCAGGCGCTGATTGGTGGAAAGGAAAATGGTGATAGTGGGGTGGGAAGAGGATTTGCTGAACCTCCTCCTGCCTCCTTAACCTGTAACTCTTCCTTAGTAGTCTCCGCTTCACCTGCGGGACCCTTTCGGGCTCGTCCTAGATTAAGAGCAAACGGAAATCTTGGTGATATTTGAACTAAAGCTACCCTTAACGATGTACCGGGAGACGGTGATTAAATTTCAGCGATGCGAGGGCGAAGTGCTCTCGGCGGTGCCGTGTGAGCAGCCTCCGTGCGCTGTCTGTTTCCTCCAGCAGCCCCCCAAAGGATAGGTTCTGCTCTAGGTGGTCGACCCTCAGGCCCCCGACTCTCCCAGGTCGACTCTGACGCGGGGCAGGGGATGGTCCCCGGGAGGACCTGGGGGAAAGGCGGGGACAGGAAGGGAGGGGAATGGGAAAGAAGGAGAGGCATCAGCCCAAACCCAACCCCTCGCGAGCGCCAAAACAGTGCCCGTGACCCTGAACTTGAGGTGAGGCGCGAAGGCACCCCCACTTTCCCGCCTTGCGCGGTCATGCAGGCGGCTGGAGCTGATGGTTGACCTGCGCCCCCTGCCCTATCCCCATTAGAGAAAGGGAACGAAGCGCACGCGGCAGGGAAACCGCTAGCGCCGGGAGAGGGCGGGGAGAGGCGCTGACAAATCAGCGCTGGGGGCGGAGAGGAGAGGAGAAGCAGGAGGAGGACGAGGCGGAGGACGACAGCTTCGACCAGAAGGGGCCTGAGAGAGGGGGCGAGCGACCGAGCGCCGCGACGCGGGAGTGAGGTGCGTGCGGGCTGCAGCGCAGACCCCGGCCCGGCCCCGCCGAGAGCGTCCTGGGCGCGCCCTCCCGCCTTCCCTTCAAGCCTCCCTTTCTCTTCATCCTCCTGAGCGAGGGACTGGGAGTGGCCATTCGACGACAGGTTAGCGGGTTTGCCTCCCACGCCCCCAGCCTCGCGTCGCGGAGTTGACAGCGGCCTCCTCTGGGGACCGTCCCCCTCCCGGTGCCGCCTCCGCCTTTCCTGTGCTCTCCTTTCCCTCCCTCTTCCCTATTCAATATTATTTGGGAATTGTTTAAAAATTTTTTTAAGGGAGGTGGGGAGGAATTGGAGTTGTGGAGAAGCAGAGGGACTCTGGTAAGTACCTGTGGATCTAAACGTGTGTCTTTGGAAATCCCGGAGAACGCCGGGTTGGAGAGAAGTGGTCGTGGGCGTCGGGAGGGGGTGGTGCTGCGGTGAGGACGCTGTGCCAGATCTTTGGGCGGTGAGTGCTTGCCCTTCGGGGAGCCTAAGGAAAGAGACTGGACCTGGCTTTCCTCCTGCTTCCGCTATTTCCTTCTCCTCAAGAGCTGAGAGGTCAGGCGCACTCCAGGATCCGCTTTTCCCCGGGAAACGCAAGGATGCTCCATGGAGCCTGAGCATTCAACTTTTGTTTCTCTCTTAGCTGAAATTCCTCTGCCCGGTCTCTCGGTTTTTCTCTGTAAAGTAAGCAAGCTGCGTTTGGCAAATAATGAAATGAAAGTGCAGGGAGGCCAAGTCAACAGGTGGTAAAGGGTTAACAAGTGCAGGCGCGCGGTCCGCTAGGGTGGAGGCTGAGAACGCCTCCTCAGGTGGCTGGCGCGGGCCTGGAGACCGCCGCCGGGTGTGAGCGGCGCCTGCTCTGGGTAGATAGCTGAGGGCGGGGGATGGATGTTCTTGTGGATTAGAACCAGAGTCCCTGGGCTCGCTGTTTGCCCCAGATTCAACCACACCCAGTGAGTAGTTAGTACTCTTCCCCAAGCCTCTCCATCGTCAACCCGGTAGCCTTATTCTGGGATTCACGTTAAGGATGACCCTGACCGTAAGCTGGAGAGCTTCCATGCTTCTAACTCATACTGCTACCCTTTAGACCCCGGCAAGTTGAAAAACGGTGAATCTTTTCTTGCAACTCCACTTCTGAAATGCAGTAATAACAACTCAGAGGATTCATCTTAATCCATGGTTAGATGGCCAGACTTTTACTAGCCAAGATGGATGGGAGATGCTAAATTTTTAATGCCAGAGCTAAAAATGTCTGCTTTGTCCAATGGTTAAATGAGTGTACACTTAAAAGAGTCTCACACTTTGGAGGGTTCCTAGTGATTTTTCAGTGTCTTTGTTTTTTCCTCAAAAAGTTCTCATTCAAAGTATATTTTATGTTCTCCAGTGTGGTGCAAAGGAATTCATTAGCCATGGATGTATTCATGAAAGGACTTTCAAAGGCCAAGGAGGGAGTCGTGGCTGCTGCTGAGAAAACCAAACAGGGTGTGGCAGAAGCAGCAGGAAAGACAAAAGAGGGGGTCCTCTATGTAGGTAGGTAAACCCCAGATGTCACTTTGGTGTTTGTTCATGACTGATGGATCAGGATAATCAGTACTCTAAATGCTGGTGGTTCTCTCTCTTGATTCATTTTTGCATCATTGCCTGTCAAAAGGGTGGACTGAGTCAGAGGTGTGTGTAGGTAGGTGAATGTGAATGTGTGTATTTGAGCTAATAGTTAAAAAATGTGTCTGTTTGCTTTTCCAGATTTTTAATTTTCCTCTAATATTGAGAACTTTTTAAAAATGAATATTTCTCTGCCTACATGACTGCATTTCAGAGAACAGTTTTAAAAACTTGTAGTCTTTTAAAAAATAATAATACTCTTAAGCATCAAAATGATTCATGGGTCTTTGATATTTTACCATCATAAATAATGTTTGTCGATTTTAATCCATTCTGGTTTTTAAAATATGACTTTGATATGTCCCTGTGATGTGTATAAAGAGACCTATTTGTGGCCCTAAAATGGAAATAATAGATTAGTCTTTGGTAAAGTTACTTCATGTGATCATTGGGTCTCTGAACACTGAGGACAGAGAAGAGTGCTTGAGGGCTGCTGCTAATATCTCAGAAACATTTATGTAGTTCATCCATCAAATGACACACACACTAGAAGAATAAATAAAATTGATGCTTATTACCTACTTTCCTAAAGTCCCACCTTGGGGTATATATTCAGACTCTGACTCTCTTTTCTGTATGTTGAACTGTGTTAAATTGAGTGTTATTTTACAAACCACTTCAAATTCCTTGGAAAGGAATAGACACACACACTCATCCACAGGCATAGATACACACACACACATGCACATACTCAACATAGACACATTGCCTATTCTTCCTCTCTTCTTTCTCCTCTGAGCTTTTTCACCTTCTCTGGTGGCAACTATAGCAGTAAGAGTCACAGGATGAACAGTCAGATGGAGGATGAGCATATTGGGTTGCATAGCTGAAACACGTGCTCCATCTATGCCTGAAAAGAGGAAGAAATCTACACTGCCTCTTCAAGATAGATCAGTGGGGGTAATTTTATACTTGTAATGATTTATATGAATGCCTCTCATCAAAGTTCACAGCAGATACATATAATTTAGTTTTTTAGTTTTTAGAATCAGGATCTTGCTGTGTCACCCAGGCTGGAGTGCAGTGATGCTATCATAGCTCACTGCAACCTTGAACTCCTAGGCTCAAGTGATGCTCCCACCTCAGCCTCCTGAGTAGCTAGGATTATAGGCATATGCCACTGTCCCATTATTTAGACAAATCTCCAGTTAAATTACTTTTTTCTACCTTAAAACATATTTTTAGAAAGTCATTAGAATAGTGTTACAAGAGGAAAAAATTGATGAGTTAATTTTAAATTTTTATGAGGTGTGAATTTTACCTTTTTAGATGGAATTTGGAATACTGATTCAGTAACATGCAGTTTTTCAGTATCTTTCCATTTGTCCTCAGATTTCCAAGTTCTGCAAGTACAAGTTTCTTTGACTTCAGTTATTTTGTAACTGTTCATTGAAATCATTTCAACGTCTCTTGTGGTATTTAACATGTAGCACTTTCTATAAATTATTTATCGGTTGCATTCTGAGGTCTAACTGAAAGTTGAACTTATACACAGAATTTAAGATGAAAAATGACCATGTGGAGACACAATAGTATATCCAGGGGTTGGCAACATTTTTTGGTAAGGAAGCAGATAGCACATGTTTTAAGCCATGAGATCTGTGTCTTGGTTAGGTGCAGTGCTCTAATCCCAGCACTTTGAGAGCCCAAGGCCGATGGATCACTTGAGCCCAGAGGTTAGAGACCAGCCTGGACAACATGGTAAAATCCTGTGTCTACAAACAATGCAAAAATTAGCCAGGTGTGGTAGCATGCACTTGTATTTCCAGCTACCCAGGAGGCTGAGGTGGGAGGATGGCTTGAGTCATACAGCTCACTGCAGAGGTTGCAGTAAGCTGAGATTGAACCACTGTACCCCAGCTTGGGTGGCAGAGTGAGACCTTGTCTCAACAAACAAATAAGCAAACAAAAAACAACTATATCTCAATTCTGCTGTTGAAGTGTGAAAGTAGTCATAAACAGTAACTGTGTGGCTATGTTCCAATAAAACTTCATTTTTCAAGACAGGTGGTAGGCTGGAATTGTCTTGTAGGTTGTAGTTTGCTGACTACTGATAGAATGTAAAGAACATGCACTTGTCACACAAACCAAAGTTTCAGTCGAGGCTACATCATTTATTACCTTTAGGGTCTTGAGGAAGTTATTTAACATCCCTGAGTATCACTTCCCTGATTAGTAAAAATATGTTTTACAAAATGGCAACTACCTTGCTATTTTTGTGAGAATGTCATAAGACAGGACATATGAATAATTGAGCACACTGTTATATATAGGAGCCATGGTTATTGCTATCAAATAAACTATCCAATGAAATACTTACTTTGCCAACATGCTTTCTATTTATCTTTTTGTCCTTCATTATATAACTAGTTTGAAAGATTGGAAGTGACCAAAGACCATTTTATAAATTCACTTACCGCCGCAGGTGTTTGTTTGGTAGAAGCCTCATAAGAAAAGTAATCTCATTCCTTTATAAGAACATACTTTAGGCCGGGCGCGGTGGCTCAAGCTTGTAATCCCAGCACTTTGGGAGGCCGAGGCGGGTGGATCACGAGGTCAAGAGATCGAGACCATCCTGGTCAACATGGTGAAACCCCGTCTCTACTAAAAATACAAAAAAATTAGCTGGGCATGGTGGCGCGTGCCTGTAATCCCAGCTACTCAGGAGGCTGAGGCCGGAGAATTGCCTGAACCCAGGAGGCGGAGGTTGCGGTGAGCCGAGATCGCGCCATTGCACTCCAGCCTGGGTAACAAGAGCGAAACTCCGTCTCGGGGGGAAAAAAAAAAAAAAAAAAAAAAAAAAAAGAACATACTTTAACAACTACTTTTTAAATCATCGTACACAAATTTTCAGTCAACATACTTCAATTTAATAGACAAAAATTTCTCCAAATGACCCAGAAATTATTAATTAGATTTAAATTCAAAACCAGAAAGATGTAATTATGTTTCTATAATGCTAAGTAATATACATGCAAGAAGTACGAGAAAATGATGATCTTTGAGTCTCTTTCAATGCCACTCTGCTCAATAAGCAGCAGAAGCCATCAGTGTGATTGATGGCAAATTCTCAAGTTAAAATGTGCTTCACCTCACCAAGTTGACAAAGTCAACATAACATGCGCAGCTGGGATAGCTGGGTCCTCAAACTCCCAGATATTACTTCTGACCTTTTTCTCCCCTCTGTGCTCTTTTGAGATTGGGAAGTCAAGATAGGGTGGGTGTGGGACACCTCCACTCAGGGAAGCCATTAGCTGTGATGTCCCTGCAGCATTTATATCTTGCTAGTCACGTAACCACTTGGTACCCATTTTGTAGCTGTATGGTATCAGTTACAGATTACTCATAAATAAAAGGCTAATCATCAATTACAGATTACTAGCAAATAATTATGACCTCAAACAACAGCTTATTGGTTTGATACATAGTAGTCTTATAAGGACTCTTATTTATCTCTTTTTTTAAAGGTATATATGTATCTTTATTTGGGGTTACACTACAAAAATATATAATATGTTGCATGTTTATAAAAATTAAGTATAATTTCTAATGGTGTTGTTTAGTGACAACCTTTTTTCTATGTAAAGTTTGTTGTTAGGGTATACAACATGATGTTATGGGATACATTAGATACTAAAAAATTACTATATTGAAATAAATTAATATATTCATAATCTCTCATAGTTACCTTTTTTGTTGTTTGTTTTTGTGGCAAGGGCAGCTAAAATCTATTTACTTAGCATGTGTTTTACATTTAACAGAATTGTCAAATATAGTACAATTTTATCACCGATAGTCCTTGTACATTAGATCTATACACTTATTCATCCTACATATTTGCTACTGCTTGGATCCTCTGTCCTATGTCTTTCTATTTTCTACTCATTTTTCCACCCCATTAACCCTGTTTTTTACTTTATCTCTGTATATTTAAATTTTGTTTCAAGCTTCAACATATATGTGAGATAATGTAACATTTTTCTGTATTTGGCTTATTTCTTATAGCATAATGTTGCT